AAACGTTATAATTAGTTGAAATAATTTGTTGCTCGTATGTTTCTGGTATCAAATTAATCTACGAACAATATACTATTCAGAAAAATAGGAAACTGAATTTGTTGCTCGTTTTAAAGTATCGAGAAGCGACACTTTGTCGTCGCGGACTGATACGGCGTGGATTAAAAACGTTATAATTAATTGAAAAAATTTGTTGCTTGTATGAGTTTGGTATTAACATAATCTACAGATTTTGTGCTATCGAAATATATCGGAAATTGAATTAATGCTTGTTTGAGAATTATTTCTCGTGTGGATGTGTATTTTAATTATTTTTAACTATATTTTCAATTATGTGCGTGCGGGCGTGCGCGTGTATGTGTATATGCGCGCGCGCGCATTTTGTAGGGAACCGCCGTTTCGATTTCTTACTAATGTTTTTATTAATTTACTGCACCAAGTATGACATGTGTAGAGCGGCGTCTTTTCAGTAGCAAAATTGTCCTTTAGAAGAACGCGGTCTCTTTGTCGGCTACTATTTACTGATGTAAGATTAAATATATATTTATTAACAAGTGTAGAGAGTATAGTAAAGTGTCAATCACAGTGAAAGATTTGTCACGCGATCTTTCCATCCTTTCCAGAAGGTTCGCTCGGGACTCTAACTCGTTTCTTTACGCGTTTTTATATCCTACGGAGAGTAGGATAAGTAAATATTGTTTTTTTATCGCGGGTTGCCGAAAGAGTCGGCTACTTCGTACGCACTTATAATCGTTTGACGCCGCGGTCAAAGACAAAAGAAAAAAAGAAACATCAATCGTTGCCGCGGGTCAATAGATCCCACACTTATTTCTTCACGTTTTTATGAATTCCTTAGGGTAATGTGTCCGATATAGTCACTACACTGCGTAATACTAATCGCTACGCAATGTTCACGAATCAGTTATACTCGCGACTACGGACGTGGAAACATCTAATTTTTATTCGTGTTTTCATCATAAGTTTGTTACGCGCGATTTGTGATTTTTAGTGATTTAGGTATTATTTATTGTTATTTATTAACAA